TCTACATTTTGTTCCAGTACGCGAAGCCCTGAAGGAGCAGGATCAAAATGACGATAAAAGAAGCAGTTGACGTTTCACCTATTAGTTCTGTGAAGCAGTACTATGTCGCCCAATGACACAGAGCACGACGATGCTGAAGTCTAGTGCAAGACAGCGACGAACTACACCAAAGGGCGAATCACCGAGTTAATCGGCGATTCCGACTAACCTCGCCGAGTGATCCGCCAACACTATTTTCTGAAGTCTATAAATACTAAACTCTTTATTTATTTTTAGGAGTGGGACCATTATTATAATTTTCACAATAGAATGGTACTTTTTTGATATTTTGCTCTAAGCTTGAGAGAGTTTTGGAGATTTGAAGGAGAAGAGGGTTTTCATCTTCAAGATTTGGAGTTGGATCTCTTGGATTCTTCATTCTTGGCATGTAACAAGACTTAAATCTTCATACCCATTTGAATGCAAACTCATTTAGGTATAAATTTCTATCTTTTGTTCGTCTAGCTAAAACCCTCATTCTTGGGGTGTGATTTAGCAAATATGTGTTGATATTATTGTTGGGTCTTGCTTGCTGATAGGTTAGATGTATTTTAATGGTGATTTCACCTAGTGGTTGTGGTTTAATTTAATAGGTTTGTAGTTGCAAATACAAAACCACCCATATGTTTTCGGCTTACGAGAGAGAGAGGTCGCGAAACCAAGACCGCTAGATTGATGGCCTAAGGAGTGGGTCGACATGAGGTTCAGCCCGAGAGGGTGAGCCCTAGTCCCATATCCTAGCACTCAGCTCGAGAGAGTGAGTGCGGTAAGGCGTAGGCTGGCCTTCATGCGGCAAATGGGTGTCTGAGTGGAATCCATTTGAAACGAGGTAAGTTGCTCGAGAGGGAACTTATTTCCATCTAAAGCTTAGCCTAGTCACTACTATCTTGCAAATTTCCTATCGAAAGCATGTACCCAACGATTTAAATCAATACATATTGCGGTCACACCCTAAGAATCCCCTCTCACTTATAAATTACTTTGTTGTTTTTACTATTTTTGTTGCACTTGTGACAAAACCCCCATTTGATATTTGACACCTTTGTGTCACCCCCTTTAATTTACAATGTTTTTAATCGTTAATGTCTTTAGCTAAGACTAGTTAGAACTAATTTTATTTTTCTATTAATTGTCAAAACCACTCCCTTGGGACACGACCCCAACCCTTGATTGGGTTACTATATTATCGACAATCGTAGACACTCGTACCGTAGATTAGTGTCGTTGGTTACGATAAGCATCATTACTCAGAGGAAGACTTACTCAACAAAACAAGAACTTCAATTGGAATGATCAATTCAAAAATCTCAACAATACATAAATTCAGACATGCCTGGAAATGCCTAATTAAACATAAACGATTGACTCTAAGTAAACATCACAAGGTAAATGATGAAAGATTCCTCAACAACTACTATCTATGAAACCTCTAAATACTACGACAGATGTCGGGACAAGACCCACGACATCTTAACAAAACAAAAATATAAATGTGGAACCATATAGAAACAATGAGGATTACCAAAGCTAACTGGAATGCAAATGGTATCAACGTAATGCATGTTGATGACCCTGAACACCCGTATATGCTTCATAAAAAGATCCAAGTTGAATGACGTCAATATATTGAATATACGAGCATGTAAGGGTAAAACTGAAAGTAATAGTTAACGAAACTGACAAGGCTGGAAGAAATACTCACTTCAACTCCACTCAATACGAAGCAACAGTGATAAATGCAATATTTAACACATTATAAAACATGAGATAAAACTCAATGATGTATATAAAAATACAATAACATACTCTTATATGGGAGATTCTCTAACCGACAACCATCACTATGAGCTACGTGATGATACAGCGTCTTTCCTACGCTACCAGAACTGTCCTATACCTTGTCGGGGTATAGAACACCTCAACTAAGTTGATCCACTAAGCTATGCTTTAAAGTAAGAAGGAATCATCTAAAAGGTATGACCTTTTAGCCATGTTGGCATACATGGTTTGTGAGGATTTTGAGTTGTCTGAACTCATCCTCATATCGGTGCTCAATACTACTCCCAATAATATATAACTCATGCTCAAATGTTTAAAACATAACTCTTTCTCAATTTGAGTAATTACTCAAAAGATCCTCTTAAAAGAGATAATACTCTGAACTCCCCTAAACTTGTAAACTCATTTAGAAATTGATGTTTCACTCTTTTAAATGTAAAAGGATTATATAGTTGGAATTACTTAGTTTCCTTATACTCATTTTGAAACATGAAACTCAACTCCCCTCATCCTCATACTCATTTACTCAAGACTTAGTTCAAATCTTTAGTTAATTGCATAAAGGGTTCTCAACATTGACTCAAAATGTCCTCTTGAACTTTCCTCTTAACTTTACTTTAATTTAAAAATGTAAATTAAGAGATGTGATTAGTATATGCATTATCTCTCAACAATTAATTAAGACTTTAAGAGTTAATAATAAGAAGAGAATGCAGGTACAATTCGACGAAACACACATGGAAAGAAGGACGGAAGAGTAAGGGACCTGGACACCCTGGCGCACTAGGTGGCACAGGACGCCAGCCCTAAAACTATTGAATAGTGTTCAGGATGCACTGATTGGCCCACCGCTACAGACCCGGAATTATTGGGAAGTAGTCCTGGCGCAGTGGTGGTGCGCCGCCCCACACCCATGCCGAGAAATCTAACGAATTTTCCTTCAATTTTTTAGGTCCTAACTCATCTAGAATCAAGTGATTTCGCCCAAACTCTCTTTGAACCATAAACCCAACACAAATTCAATGAAATCCCACACAAAATCTATCAAGAGACATCACTCATTCACAAGACCTCACCTGAAGAACTCAAAACCTCAATTGTTAAAGAATGGAGCTAAAACTCAAGAACATCTCAAGAATCTTAATACAATCAATTTCGAGAACGAATTCATGAATAAAGTTACATGATTGGCCTGAGGTAACAAACCCAACACTGTGAGAAGCTTACATACCTCGAAAGAACACTAATTCTTGGTGAAATCCTCAGTTTTTGAAGGAATGTTGGAAACCCTTCTCTTTTCTCCTCTTGAATTTTGCTCTAAAAATCCCTAAGAATTTTGGAATATGGAAAAGTGGTGTAATTATGATTAGACCTTTAACTTGGGTGTGAAAAAAAGTTTTAGGCTTAATGGGATAAGTAAAAGATCAAACTACCTTTTCCCTTAAACGAATGAATAACCTTTTCTAGAGAGACTTCACTCTAATGGCTATAACATTTTACTCAGAGCTCGAAATATAGCAAAATTGGTGGCGTTGGAAAGAGGACTCAAACAGCTTTGATTTGATTCATCATGGGCCACATAATTTTTTATGTGCTAAAAGATATGGTCGTCTGAAGATGACCCAAAACTTAAAAATTGATCATCTGAGGTGTTTAATATCTCACCATTGGGAAAATTCGTCATGGAATGAGATCACATAAAGAAGAACATGGGTGGGAAGCATTTAACAACCCCAACCCAACACACAACATGCAATTAACATAATTCAGCATATCAACTTAAAGAGTACTTTACAAGGAGTTAGTACCTCGGTTTGGAATTTTTTCGGAAGGAAAAATATGAAGGTATCTCTTCTTCATAACCTCCTCAGCCTCCCAAGTGGCTTCCACAACAACTTGATTCCTCCATAAGACCTTGACTGATGCAACTTCCTTAGTTCTCAACTTGTGAACCTAATGATCAGAATCTGAATGGGAACTTCCGCATAAGATAGGTTGTCCTTGATACCAATATTCTCTGTAGGTACAATAAGTGAAGAATCGCTCAAACACTTCTTTAGCATGGATACATGGAACACCGGATGAAATGTTGCTAATTCTGAAGGTAGCTCCAACTCATAAGCTACATTGCCAATCAACTTGGATATCCAGTAAGGACTAATATACCGAGGACTGAGTTTTGCCTTGTTACCAAATCTCACAACACCCTTGATAGGTGAAACCTTCAAGTAGATCCAATCACGAACTTCAAATTCTAAGTCTCTTATCCTAACATCAATATAGGATTTCTAATGACTTTGCGCTGTTTTTAGCCTTTTTTGAATAATCTTCACCTTCTTCATGGCTTGATGAACCAAATCTGGCCCTATCAACTCAGCTTCACCAACCTCAAACCAACCAATAGGCGATCTACATCTTCGCCCATAAAGAGCCTCATACGAAGCCATTTGGATACTGGAGTGATAGTTATTATGTATGTGAACTCTATGAAAGGCAAGTGATCATCCCAATTACCTTTGAAGTCTATGACACATGCCCTCAACATATCTTCTAAGGTCTGGATTATGAGCTCAGCTTGACCATTAGTATGAGGATGAATAGTAGTACTCAGGTTTATCTTCGAACCCAAACCTTTCTTGAAAGACTTCCAAAACTGAGTAGTGAATTGTGCACCTCTATATGAAATGATAGACACAGGAACTCCATGAAGTCAGACTATCTGATCTACAATCACCCAAATCGAATCATGTTGCCATCAAGACCGGGGCAAGACGGTAATGAAATTCATATTAATCATTTCCCACTTCCATTCCAGAAGATCTATATTCTGGGCCACACCACCGGGCCTTTGGTTCTCTACCTTTACCTATTGGCAATTTGGGCACTTGGCAATGAACTCTGCAATGCACCACTTCATACTACTCCACCAATAGACTTCTCTTAAATCGTGGTACATTTTTTTGGAACCGAGATGGATTAAATACCTAGAACTATGAGCTTCTTCCATGATTCTCTCTTGGAGCCCATCCACCTTTGGTACACACAATCTACTTTGGTATCTCAATACACCATCTCCCCCTTGTTCAAAAGCCACCATTTTTTGCTTATGAACATTCGCCTTTAATTCAAGTAAAATAGGGTCTTGGTATTATTTCTCCTTCACTTTAGACACTAGTGATGATTCAGCCCCATTTCACCACAAATCCACCTTCATTGGACTCTAGCAAATGGACTCCCAAATGTGAAAGTCTGTGCACTTCTTTAGCCAATTCTTTCTTACATTTCTCAACATGAGCAGTACTTCCCATAGAGAACCTATTCAAAGCATCAACAACAACATTAGCCTTACCCAAGTGATAGAGGATACTCATGTCGTAGTTCTTAAGCAACTCTAACCACCTCATCTATCAGAGATTAAGCTTTTTCTGACTGAATACATATTGGAAATTCTTGTGATCGGTGAACACATCTACATGAATACCATAGAGATAGTGACACCATATTTTTAGAGCAAACACTACTGTTGCTAACTCGAGATCATGAGTCGAACAATTCTTCTCGTGAATCTTGAGTTGTCTCGAGGCATAGGCTATAACCTTATCATTCTGCATCAATACACAACCAAGTCCAACTTTGGACACATCACAATAAACAACAAAGCCTTTGGTACCCTCTGGTAGGGTCAGCACTGGGCAGTAGTTAACTGGGTTTTCAATTCATGAAAGCTTTTCTCACAAGCTTCAGACCATTGAAACTTAACTATTTTCTGAGTCAACTTCGTCAATGGGGCTGAAATAGATGAAAACTCATTGACGAACTTTCTATAGTAACCAACCAATCCCAAGAAACTTCTTATATCAGTTGGAGATGTGGGTCTGGGTTAGTTCTGCACTGCTTCAATATTCTGAGTGTCAACTCGAATCCCTTCACCAGATACAATGTGGCCTAAGAACGCCACGTACTTAAGCCAAAACTCACACTTAGAAAATTTAGCATACAACTCTCTACCTTTGAGAGTTTGGAAGTCTATTCTGAGATGACTAGCATGATCCTCCTCATTCTTCGAATAAATCAGTATATCATCAGTGAATACGATAAAAAAACATGTCAAGATATGGCTTAAACACTATGCTCATAAGATCCATGAACGTTGTAGGAGCATTGGTCAAGCCAAAATACATAACAAGAAACTCGTAATGACCATATTGGGTCTTCAATGTTGTTTTCGGGATGTCACTTTCCCTACTCTTAACTGATGATAGCCAATATGAGTTCTATCATAGAGAAGCAAGTGGAACCCTGAAGTTGGTCGAAAAGATCATCAATTCTCAGAAGGGGATACTTATTCTATATAGTGATCTTGTTCAATTAACGATAATATATACACATTCTAAGATAACCATCTTTCTTCCTCACAAAGAAGACCAGAGCTCCCCAAGGTGAGATACTAGGTCGAATAAAACTCTAATCAAGAAGATCCTTCAACTTTTCTTTTACCTCTTTTAACTCAGCTGGAGTCATTCTATATGGCAGAATAGAAATAGGTTGGGTATCTGGAAGGATGTCTATCCCGAAGATGATTCCTCTCTCAGTAGGGACTCCAGGAAGATCATCTAGAAAGACTTTTGGAAACTCACTCACAACTGGAACTGATTGAATAGGCGGTGTCTCAACACTAGAGTAATTAACTCACTCACAACTTTTTGGCCTTAAAAGCTTACATACCTCAAAATAACACTAGTTCTGGGTGAAATCCTCAGTTCTTGAAGGAACGTTTGAAACCTTTCTTTTTTCTCCTCTTAAATTTTGCTCTAAAAATCCCTAAGCTTTTTGGAATATGGAAAAGTGGTCTAATTCGGATTAGAGCCTTAACTTCGGTGTGAAAAATGTTTTAGGCTTAGTGGGGTAAGGAAAATACCAAAATACCCCTTCCCTTAAACGGATGAATAGCCTTATCTAGAGAGGCTTCACCGAAATGGCCATATTTTTTAATTACTTGGAGCTCAGAATTTAGCAAATTTGGTGGCATTAGAAAGAGGACTCAAAGACCTTTGATTTGATAACTCATGGACCACCTAATTCTTTATGTGCTAAAAGATATAGTCGTTTTAAGTTGACCCAAAACTTAAAAAGTGATCAAAGTCTGACGTGTTACAGTGTATTACACATACAACGATGAGAGTGTAATAAAAGAGAGGTTTGTTTCTCAAACTAATAAGTGATAGTTTAGGTATAAAAGTCACACTCTCAATAGTTTAGGTATGAAACTAAAAAAATAAATATTTTAGGTGTGTTTTTTACCCTTAAAGCTACTTTTTTAAGTTAATCAAAATGGGTTCTAAATAACAATTAACAACAAACCCCTCTCTTATATTTTTCTCTCAACAACTTGTGCACACATCCCAATAAAAAGTTTAGAGCAGCAACAATGGCTTCTTCTTGCTCCATCAAAAAAGTTCACATGATAATCAAAATCATCTTCCTTAAACAAGTCGTCAAGCGATGGAAGGACACCTCCTTCGTCCTCGTTTTATTCTTTCTTACTCTTCCTCCAATTTTGGTGAAATGGAGCAAATTAATTTGAACCCCTGTAGCAATTGTTGTCGTGCATCTTTCGGTTATTGGTGGTTTATGTGGGGGTTCATGAGAATGAGCGTCGTCGATTACCAACATGATTTTTTGAGATCGAAGAATTGAAACAACATCTTAAAACTTGGTACTATTTTAATATTGGGGTTGTTATACCCCATTTTAACCAAGGTCAAATCAGTGTACAACAAATTGGTGGTTTCTAAATTAATTAACTTAAGAAGTTGCTACCTAACTATTACAAGGGTGAGTTAGGACACCTAAATTTTCAAATTGACTTCATTTTAAGGTCTTCTAACCAATTAGAGATTCTAAGATAAGGGTTCAATTAATCCTAAAGGGAAGGGGTAAGGCATCCTTTAAGATCCGTATAAAAATGGTTAACTGGCCGGACTTAAGTTAAATAATTAAGGTCTTAAAGGTGGTAAAAGAAAAAATTAATATTTTATAAATAAAATGAGAAAAACTTTAAAGTAGATATTATATAATAATATAAAAATAATATAGAATTGTAGAAAACTTGACATTTAGGGAAAACAATAGGTGATTTTTTAAAGATAGAAAGACATTTAATAAGAGGGCACAAAGGGACTGTTTCAAAACGTCTTTGCATTAGAAAAGATGTCCCTCTTTAAAAATATTTTTTTGTTTGGAAAAATAGATTCCACAAGTTCAGATTAGTCGGTTTTTGATTCAAAAGAAATTTGGGAAGTAACACGATAACTTCGTTAAAACTTAAAACAAAGGGATTTACTAAATGTGTTTCTAAGTATCTAAAGCCAAGAATAAGTAAATCCCCAAAACGCATACATAAACAATTAGTCACAAAGAGTTAAATACGAGTGAATGACAAAAGGAAAAGTAATAATAATAATAATAAAGTAAGACATCGTCATAGGCATTTCCCAAGCAATTCTTGCTTGTTTTTCTTGTTGTCAGACACGTTTAAAGAAGATTTAAATGAAGGATATTATGCGGGTATGGAGAGTCTTGCATCAAGACTCCACGTATTGCTCCAAAGTATCCATGCAAAGACAAGAAAAGAGAAAACATGAGTAATGGATAGAAAATACAATTCTCAAACATTCATGACTAAGATGCTTAAATTTAAAAAGAATCACACAACTAGATACATTAATAGAGGAAATGATTCAAGACATAATAGGCTTAATTAAGTTATGTTTCTAATATTAAGAGTTTTCGGGGAACAGTAAAAGAGCACATTTGATTAGTATTTTTCTTAGAATCTTTACAGAATGACTCCACAAACACAAACAAAGTAGATTATTCCTACTTCTTTAAATTAATACTTAACTTGAAAAAAAATAAAAATTTAAACCATATTTCAATTAGTTAAAGAAAAGAAGGTTTCAACATTTTCAAAGTAGAGGGGAATATCAAGTGATCAAATATATAACTTGATACACCCCTTATATCAGAAAATTACAGAGGATAAGCAAGAAGGAGACTTGAGTTTGAATATGGAGGAAATTTACAGCAAAACTCAAACGGAACTTAACTACGCACAACAACACCATTCCAAGTACTGGAAAATTTGTAAGGAAATTATAATAGTAAATAAAATGCCAAGGAAAAGGAGTTAGAAAATAGGAAGTTCACTTCTTACTACTACTTGAAAACTAAAAGAAAAGCCATGAATTTGAACAAAAGTGATTCCTGCAAATACTTAAAGCTTAACAAACCTTCAAACTAACTTCATAGAAATCTTGGGACAAACATAGTTATCGAAATAACTAGGAAAAGGCTATTTACGATTTTACGAATATCTACTTGACAATAAAACAGTAGTCAACTCTTAACTTAAGATTTAAGATCTTAAAAGTCCTAATATTATTAAGATTGGTTGCAATGAGAAAAGCTAAATGATAATAAACAAACTCAACACCTGGAAACAAATTCTATATTAGACCAATCCATGGTAGTGATTTCATCATAAAAACATGCCGAATTTAGAAAATATAACGACTCATAGGCATGACGACGAAATAACTCTACAACACATTCTTACGACAACAAAAATAAAATATGTATAATAAACAATATGCTATTCAAGATTCAACACGTTAAAATGAACCTGAGGATGAGCAACATTCTGTAATTCGAAAACTTTAAAAGCTTAAAATTACAGATTCGAGCAACATAAACAAATAGGGCAAGAGTCAATTTTTTTTTTTATCTTCCACGGGGCAGTGACTGAGGGCTTTGAGGTTTCGATTCCATGAGATTTAAAGCTTGTATAAACTGAAATAGAAGGAGAAGAGCAGATGGGGATTTTTGAGGTTCAAGACTTGGCCCTTTATTGAAGAATAGAAGGGGCATTTATAGATGAAAAAATCTGATTTGAGCGGGAATTCAATATTTCAAGCTTTAAACTCCATTCAAGACTCTCCATTCAAACTTGAACGTTTGAGAATGGGATCGAATCAATCTTCACGTGGTTGAGACAGAGAAAGCGTGACTTACTTCAGATTATACTTGAAAAAGGGGAAGATTTGCCTGTACTTTCGGTTTGGACAATCTTGAAGCATGAAATGAGGAAGAGAAGATGGAGACACGTCTGACATTTTCCAAGTTTGCACGAAAAATGGCGACAACTACTATCAAATGGTGAAAGAAGTCAATAGATTTGCTTGAAATGGAGAGAGAGGAGCGGCGCTACACACAGAGGCGAATCCAGGATTTTAAGAAGACGGGTGCACCATTGCTTTAAAGATAAGATAAAAAAAAATTTATAATAACAATAACTAAGCGAGCAATACATAAAAATTACATTACCACAAAAAATATCATCAGTTTACAATTGTACTCGATGAGACTTCATATTTTGAAAACGATCTATAATAGCATCATTACTTACATTTTCAAATATCTTCCGCTCTATCTTACAAACTAAACATCCATTCAAAAATTCTTCACCAATGCTATTACGTAGATCATTTTTGATGAGCTTCATTGAGGAGAATGCTCTTTCCACACTTGCCGTAGCAACAGGCAAAATCAAAGCTAACTTTACAAGCAAATAAACAAGAGACCAAATTTGATCCAATTTTGTTTGTGCCATCATCGTAGCAAGATCTTTAATCCCCTTCAAGTTGAGAAACTTGCTATCACACTCTCGAGCATAGACAATGAAACTATCAAGTTGATAACTGAGATCTCGAAGTTCATTATCACCAAACTCACTTTTATAATATTCGGGCCAACTTCATTATTCTTCTCTTACTAAAATTAGCAAATGAATCAACCGGATTCAAACTAGCCATGCCAAGGAGTAAGTCACTAGTCACAACATCAAAACGATTATTGAGCTCCTGAAGTTGCAAATCAATAACTGCATAAAACACTTCCACACGAAAGTGATGTAAATATGAAATTTCGGACTTCTTACGCTTCGATCTTGGATAGTCTTTAGTCATTTCGGGAACCAAAATATCATGTTTACCACAAAATGAAGAAACCTCATCCATCAAAGACTCCAAACCACTCTCTCTCATTGTTTGTAATCTTCTCTTTGAAAGATTAAGCAATCCCATAGCATTGACAATATCTTGATCTTTCTTTTGTAAAGCTTTGTTCAATTCATTTGTAAGAAGCAACATCTTGAACATCAAATGCAACACAAAGATAAATTCAAATTCTTGAATTTTATCTAAAAGGTTACCTGCCGCAAGTTTATCAAGATCATGTGGAGAATTTTCTTTCATATCTTTAAGCACATTAGCAATTGAAGAAAATATAATCATGAAATTTTCCAAGGTTTTGAAATGGGATCCCCAACGAGTATCATCCGGTCGTTGGAGGCCACGTTCTTGATTTAATCCTTGTCCGGTAAGAATTTCTCCAGATTTAAGCAATTCTTCCAACTTCTCAACTTGGTGTTGTCGAAGTAAGTCCCTGCGTTTAAAAGATGTCCCAATAGTATTCAAAACATTAGTGACAACATAAAAGAAATTTTTCACATCCGGATGTTTTTTAGAAAGAGCTACAAGTGTCAATTGCAATTGGTGAGCAAAACAATGAATATGATATGCAGACGAAGCATCTTGCAAAATCAAAGACTTTAGACCATTTTTTTCTCCTTGCATATTACTAGCTCCATCATAACCTTGTCCACGGAGTCTTGATAGGCATAACGAGTGATCCAAAAGTAAAGAGTAAATTGCTTTTTGCAATGATCTTGCGGATGTATCACCCACATGAACAATACCCAAAAAGCTTTCTATCAACTCTCCGTTTTTGTTAACATATCGTAAAACTAGTGCCATTTGCTCTTTATGTGAAATGCCCTTTGACTCATCAACTAGCATTCCAAAATAATCACCATTCAAGTCTTTAATGATAGCTTTAATTGTTTCTTTAGTACAAGCATCCACAATCTCTTTTTGAATTGTTGAACAAATCATCATATCATTTTTTGGAGCATGTTGTAATATCACCTTTTCCACATCCGGACGATTAACCCCATGAAATTTCAAAAGTTCAAGAAAAAGACCTTTGTAATCGGAATCTTCACTCTCATCATGACCACGAAATGGCAATCCATTTCTTAGGAGAAACCTTACCACATTGATTGAGGCATTTAAACGAATTTGATAATCACTTTTTGTTTTTTCACTTTGCTTGTGAAGAGAAGATTGAATTGATTGACGTTGATTCGCAAAATCAAGCATCTTATTCAAACATTTGTTATGAATACTATTCACCTCACCAACATGCAATCGAATCCTTTCCGGACCATGGTTCCAATTCTTAAAACCATCTTGTGTAAATGATTTTCCCGCATTACCACGACTTTCAAATTCATTCTTGAAGAGATAACAACACAAACAAAATATAGCATCATCATCTATGCTATATTCCAACCAAGCAGAATTTGGAGCATTAAACCACTCAGGATTAAATTGCTGATTACTAGTCCCAAATGTTGTTTTAGGATATACACGAAGTTTTGGTTGATAAGGCCCCATCAAAATATAATGTCTCCTCACAACATCTCGAATATTAGAATCATATTCAAAGATGGATTTTCTTTCTCCGGGATCCCGTTTGAGAGATCCAACCCCAAGAATACAATCAACATTTGAAGAAGAAGATGTAATTGTCTCTCTTTGAGCTTTTGGAGCTACATGTGAACTAACAGATAGATCGCTACTAGAACGTGGTTTCTTAATCAAAAATTTATCCATTTAGATATTCAAGGATAAATGTTCCTACAAATTCAAATAACTATTCAACTTAGTCACAAATTTTAACTAGCAAATTTAAAATAAAATAAGAGAATCGCATATCTTTCACAATAAAAAATAAGGGAATCACACCCTTGCAAGTTCAAATAAAATAGAGGAATCACAATCCTTGCAAATGTAACTAAAATAGAGGAATCACACCCCTTTCACATTTAACAATAAGAAAATCACACATTCATAATAAAAAGAGGACTTATGCCTCTTTTGCATTCGAAATCACATATTCATAGAAAGAAGAGGAATCACACCCCTTTCACATTTAAAAAAATAAGGGAATCACACCCATTTCACATTAAAAAAATAAGGGAATCACACCCCTTTCACATTAAAAAAGAAAGAATCACACCCTTCAAAATTGATAATATAATATGAAACACATTTCTTACAAGTTACATCCGCAAAATATGTAAGTTTGAGATAATCAATTCTTTAGCTATTGATGATTTCCTATTATAAGTAATGACAATATTTTTTTATATGAAAACCCTAAAATTAAAGTGATATATACATACATATATTTTTTTTGATCTTGTTAGTTTGTATATTAAAAAGAGAAATCATAAACTAAAATTACCTTAAACTTTGACAATGATGATTTCTCTAAATTCTTGACTTGAAGTTGGAGACTTGAAGTTCTTCTTTGTGTGGAAAATAGAAAACAAATTTGAAGAGAGAAGAAAAATATTGTTGGAATTTGGAACTTGAAAAGTGTGTGGAAAGGAACTTTTTTTTTTTTTTTTTTAATGAAAAATGTGTTTTTAGTTAATAAAAATAAATTGCAGCGAATTGGGGCTGCCTGGGATCGAACCTGCGACCTGTGAGTTGAAATTTTGCAGTGGTACCAGTGAACCATCCAACCATTTTGAGAACGGGTTCAACAAGTTTAAATTTAATATATTCTTTAATAATTATAGAAGTAATATATCGAGTTTAGTCGGATGACCACGGGTTCGGGTGACCCAAAATTAGTACATAAATTCGCCCCTGGCTACACATAGAGATAACCTAGTATTAGGTTTATTTGAGTGAAAGGGTTGTGGGCTGATGTATTGTAGCATAATGGGTCATTACAATGGGTTCTATTTTGGGCAAATTACAGAAATCACAAACTTTTAAGGTAATATTACAATTTATCCTTTAAAAGTTTATAATTACAGAAATCCCTCATTTTCGCACATCAGATTAGTGTATCAACGCTTATATTATTGTATCTCGCGCATCAGATTAATGTATCAGCGCTTATATTATTGTATCTCGTGCATCAGATTAATGTATCAGCGCTTATATTATTGTATCTCGCGCATGTATCAGCACTTATATAGCTCTGATACATTAATTTGATGCGCGAGATACAATAATATAAGCGCTATACATTAATCTGATGTGCGAGATACAATAATATAAGCGTTGATACACTAATTTGATGCGCAAAAATGAGAGATTTTGTAGATTTGTAAAACTTATAGGGGATAATGGTAATAAGTAAACTAAAATGTGGGATTTCTATAATTTTTCCTTCTATTTTAGGCAAATTTGACATTAAAATGGGGCTGAAAATCTGTAGTTTGATCAGATTTTCACATAAGAAAGGGGCTAAAATTTGGTCTTGTTTGGGCCTTATTTTTTTTTGGCAAATTCCCTTCTCAAAATGATTTCTTTGGGCTTCCTTATCTTAATAATTTGACCAATACATATATTAACACACTAAAAATACGACGATAAAATATTTGTAAAAGTAATAATATAGTAAAAATATAACAACATCTAAAAGTAGATTATTAATGACTAGGACGCGCAAAGAAATAAATTAGAGAAGAGGTGGGACAAAATTGGGTGTCAACAGGGGTTTCTTAGATCAAATAAATGGCGAAAAAATTGAGAGACTGAAAGCAGAGAATATGGGAGAAAATAAAGAGTAGAAGGAGATGGGGTGGAACAGTGAAAGGCTGAAGGGTTTTGGCCTCCTGCTTTTTGATCGACCATCATTGTCGGGAGACGATGTGCTACAATAAGTTCTTCGTCGAAGTCTATCAAATTATCCTGACCCCACTCGCTTGCTTCACTGCACTCCTTTTCTCAACTCTAGTGTTTCCTCCCTTTATGTACAAAACAATTTTACTGATGATTTTTTAGGATCTAGCTTTCCAAGATAATAGTATTTGTCACCAGAATAAACCACTGGCAATTTGGGAGCGCTCAAGGAGTTTCCAGAGTACAAGGAAACGCCACCAAATACTCTAATGGTGTTTTCTCATTGATTTCATCATTATCTATGCAAAAAACAATTTATGGAACCATGGCAGTAGCTTCCCATTTCCCTCTAATGGTGTTTTTTTCATTTTTGTTGGTTTATGTACATTGAGTTGTACATCAGTGTGCAAAATCTCTGTTTTTGACAACAATGGGAGGAGAAAGTTTGAAGCTTCACCAACGTTATTTAATTTAGTGGATCAGGTCCAAATTAAAAGAGGGAATCAATTTTTAATGGGTAATTTAAATTGAAATTATGGATTTGAGGTCGATTTTGTCACGACTCGAGCCTACACCCTGGACGTGGCCGACACTGGAGAACCATTGTTGGTCCCCAAGCGAACCCTCATCATTGCTGACTTCAAGCGGAAGACTAATTCAAGCATACAAAGCTTGAAACTTAATAAAATTCATTGAACTCAATTTCAAATGTTTAACTCAAATGAATAACTCTGAATAAAAATAATATATTCAATTTGCCATAAAATAAGCAAATTAAGTCTTTAAAACATTTAACAAAATAAATTAACAAACTTCTAAAACTCTACTGTCTATCTATGAAGCCTCTAACTGACAAAGATGGAAGTCGGGACAAGACCCACGACATCCTAACAACTGATATAACTGAAAGTACAAGTGGAACCCTCTGGAAGTAAGAATGCTCACCATAGCTAACTCAAACTGCATGTGGTATCAACGAAACGTCTGTTGATGATCCTGAGTACCTGTATATGCATAATGAAATGATGCAGGACAAATGGCTTAGTACATGGAATGTACGAGCATGTAAAGGGAATTCTAAAGCATAACATCAGCTTGAACTGGTGGAATAGAAACATACTTACCTCTTCTCAACTCACTCAACTTAACTCAAATAAACATAGTTCAACTCAACTCAGAGAAAATAGGGCTCAACTCAATGATAAGATATTCAACTCAGTGAAATAAGGCTCAACTCAATTATAAGGTATTCAACTCAGTGAAATAAAGGTCAACTCAATTATAAGGTATTCAACTCAGTGAAATAAGGCTCAACTCATTTATAAGATACTCAACTCTGGGTACTCAACTCTGGATACTCAACTTCTGGATACTCAACTCTGGATACTCAACTCAATATAAAACAAAAATACAAATGCAATAGATGGAAAGCTTTTAAAACAGTAGAAAGCAACTCAATGTATTGAAAAATACAATAACAACTCATTTTGTATATAAAAATACAATATAACTATCTGTATATAAGAATACAAAATATCTCCGTGGAAGTTTCTCTAATCGACAACTATCACTATGAGTTATGTGATGATACACAATTTTGCCTCACGCTGCCAGGGCCGTCCTATACCTTGTTGGGGGTATAGAACCTAACTACTAAGTGGATCCACTAGTCTATGCTAAAAGAATTAAGGAATCATCTAAAAAGTATGACCATTTTCTACCCATGCTGGCTACACGGTTTATGGAGACCTTGAATTATCTTAACTCAAACTCGTCCCTAAATCGGTGCTTAATACTACTCCCAAAATGTAACTAGCTCATATGTTTAAAACATAACTCTTTATGTGGTTTGAGATAATTACTCAAAAACTAGCTCAAAGGTTCTCTTGAAAATTGGTGTTTCCTCTCTTGCTTAAATGTGAAAACATTTAGTCTTTAGGAACACTTAGTTCCCATATACTCTTTTAAAGAAAATGAACTTCACTTTTACTCTTACTCAACTCAGTGCTCAAGTCTTTAAAACAATTTGTAAAAAAACTTCTTAAAATAGGGTTTATGTCTAATTATGGATGTGAATGACTCAATTCAAGGTTTTCAATAACCATAGATAAAACTCAATACTCGGAACTCAAGAACTTCAATGATAGTACTCATTTCAAGAATGCTCGACTCAGAGGGTTCATGCAGAATTATGAGCATGAACTACTCAACTCAAGGACTCAAAGATGCTTCTCATCTCAAGATTGCTCGACTTATAGGGTTCATGTAGAGTTATGGGTATGAACTACTCAACTCAAGGACTTCATGGGTGACATGTAATGGTCCCATGATTAGCAATATAATCTCAAAAGGATTATGAACTCAATACTCAAGACTTAGAACTTAAAGATACTACTCATCTCAAAGATACTAAAATTATGGAGTTCTTGTGGAATTTATGGGCATGAACGACTCGACTCGAGGGTCTCCACAACAATATGGAACTCCTGTAGACGACTCTTCTCATTCTTATACTTACTTTCTCAAAACTTAGTTCAAATCGATAGTTGATCTCAAAGGATTCACAATTGAACTCAAAAGCTTTCTTGAACTCTACTCCTAACTTTCTTTTGAATGTGAATTTTGAATTCAAGAGTTATGGTTCATGCTATGAACGATCTCGTGATGATAAAGTAAACCCATGAATACATTCTCCTCATTCTCATACTCATTTGTTCGAGTCTTGAAACAAGTTGTTAGAAATTGTAGAAGACTCTTCAAAAAGACTCAAAGGGACTTTCTTGAAATGTTCGAATGAACTCTCAAGACTTAATTCTTAACTCTACCTTGAATTTGAATTATGAATTCAATGTTATGATTCATGTTATGAATGATTTCTAGGTGTTTAGAAGTAGTTTAGAGTAGTTAGAATCAAAGGGAGTGAAGGTACACTTAAAAGGGACTCAAACAGGACAACCGACGAAAAAAGA